CTCAGTTTCTGAGTGGTGTAAAAATTCAAGTGATTGCTCCTGGCCTGACTGCTACCTGTTACAGGTATCTGGAGACTGTCTGTAGTATTTGCTGACTCTAAGAACACATCAGCTTTGTTATTAGTGCTACTAACCCTTGTGACATTGACATCGTCAATCATAGTCTTTACTGTTACTGGGGATACACTTTGGAAATGCTCTCTTGTGGGAGCCAACTGGTCAGTGTTCTGAAATTCAGTTGCTCCAGGTAGTAGTGGAAAGACAGTGGATGACTGTTGACTGGCTGCATCTTGCATTTTGCTTGACACGGTTGGGTTTATTTTCTTTAACACAGCTGTAGTTCTAACAGCAGTGGATAGCTTGAAATCGACACGTTTTTCAGGTGGTTGTATTTGTGAACCCACAACTGGGGAGATTTCTGTCCCAGAAGCTGTATTTGTCACAGAGCTATCAGATGTGGTTCTAGAGGCAACTGTCACTGTCCTTGTTGGGACATTTGAAGGTTTATTGTCCAGGACCATAAATTCCTCATCTGGTATGAGCATCCCTGAAGAGTCTCCCTCCTCACCAGGTATGGTCAGGAGTTGGATGACTGGCGGGAGTGGCCTTCCTGTGGTAGTTCCTTGTTTCTCTGGCTCGGCATTCTTTTTAGCTTTCTCCAAAAGTGCTGCCCAGTGTTGTGGATCAATTTTCCGAGCAGAGGGAGGAAACTGTCTCCTGTGTTCCCTAAAACGTCGGCTTACTGCATCTCCACGCTGCTGGTGCATCATAAATTCCCGATAGTTGTGTTTCTTACTTGTGTGTGAGACTTGGTTTCTGATCTCTGCTCCCATTGGGGCAGACACAGGGGGTGGGGCAGCTGGTGGCTCCGTAAGGTGAGCCGTAGGCTTGGGCTCATCAAATCCAGATCCATCTGTTTCTCCATCATGCACCACTGGTCTTGGTTCTTTTGTTTTGACTGAAACTTGGAAAATCAAAAAATCAACCCCTGAAGGGTTGGCTGCTACACAACGATAATGGCCTTGGTCTTTTGGGGTGACCTGTAATATTCTTAACGTGCCATTGTCAAGAATTTGCTTGCCTCTTAAGGACTGGTAGAGCACACTGTTTCCTGGAAGAACCCAGCTAATGGAAGCATCTGGGATTCCAGTAGCATGACATGGGAGATCTAGAGTTTCACCTATGGAAACTGTGCGATGAACTCCAGTCTCGTGATAGGCTTCTACATGGGGCTCTACCACAGTGACCCTATAGGTGAGAATATCTGCATCTTCATAATTGGTGCTTATGCAGTGATACAGGCCTGTGTCAAAACTGTCGGCCATCTGGAGTTCTAATTTCCCACTTCTGTCTATCAGGAGCCTTCCATCCTCACTGACATAAGGGGCCCTCACTTTACTCCCATCAGCTAGAACCCACTCCAAATGTGGGGCGGGGTCACCTTGGCCCGGGCAGTTCAGGTCAATGGTTCCACCAACCAGAACAGTGCGTTCCAGGTTAGTATTGTTATCCCGCGAAATCATGGTCCATTTGTGTTTCACGGGCTTCATCTCTGCCTTTGGTAAAGTGACTTGAGCATGACCTGAGTACTGGATCTGTAATGTACTGAGTGTGGTAGCGATTCTGTTCAGCTGCAAGGAAATGTAGTCTTGCATTAACCAAGAAGGATCTGCGATGAGGTCAGCCTCTATGTTGGTAAAAATGTCTTCAGGGTTAGGGGCCATCTGTTTATATTTGTAACAAAGCTGTGGTGTTTCAGTGAGTAACTGGCTCCTTTCTAGTATAAGAGGAGAATCACTGTAAAAAGCCAGAATTTGCCACACTGGCTGAATGTGACCATAATCTATATTGCACACTAGAAATGTCAGAAATGATGTATTGATCAGGATATGGTCATTTTCTTCAGTGAATGCAATGGGTGATGTCCTCCGTGGTTTTTGGATGCTGCAGACCATACTAGCTTCATTTCCAGACTGGTCTGTCATATTCAAAGTGATGGAGCCAAAAGGTGCCAGGAAATCTTGGGGAGAGATGAAGGCAGAACTGCTGTCTTCCGGAATGGACAGATTCTTTGATTTCAGGGATGGGTCAATGGTTGGCTTGGTGCACAGGAAAGCTGCAGCTGGGACCATAGCTAGAGGCTTGCCTTTAGAGGTCCTAGGGTTCATGCACAGTGGACATTGCTGAGGACTGGAGGGACTTCTGTCTCTTTTGCATTTTATTATATCTAGGGGGAAAAAATCACAATAGAATTATTAGTTATGACCTCTTTGTGAATTGCCATCTTAACATTTTGAAGAAATAGCTTTTGCTAGAATTTGAAACATTTGAAAAATTTAGCATTTAATAGAAAGTGTTCTATGTTTTCTGTGTCTGAATTGAATTTTTTTTTTTTTTTTTCAGTTTTTGGCCAGGGCCAGGTTTGAACCTGCCACCTCCGGTTTATGGGGCTGGAGCCCTACTCCTTTGAGTCATATGCACCGCCTCTGAATTGAATTTTTTAATGGTATTGTCTGTATACCTTGCTACTGTGTACTGCACACAGGCACAGAATTTCAGCCATCTCATTTGCTGCTATAATTCCCACGCCTAGAAAATGCTTGAGATATATTTGGTACCCAGCAAAGATGAGTTGAATGAATTATTTCCTTATTCAGGGAAACAAAATGACATGCTCATGTTTGTCAGTTTGGATTAACAGGAGTTTAGTTCTTTTCCCTCATTTTAAGGCAGTTCAAAAGATAACCTGTTTGATAAATGCTCATTTCTAAGTTCCTGGATATGATTAAAAACCCAAATTTCTTTCCTCTATCCAAAATAATATTGCCTGAATGTCAAGGTATCTTGGCCCAGTCTAGCTTAGCAGCACTAAGAGTGGAGAGAAATAGATTCAGGAGACAATGAAGCAGGTAGAAGCAATCAACAGTAGGCGACGATTGATGCACAGAGTGATGGACGGAAGAGTCCAGGAGGGCTCTGGCTGATGACTTTGGCGAGTGGATGGTTGATGATCTGCTGGGTGGAGGAGGATCAGGGTTAATGATGGAGGAATATTGTGCAGAAACCACAGAACAACCTTCAAACGACTGACATTCTGGTGAAGTGAGCGGCTTATAAGTCTCATCGCACTAGGACTAGTCTAGGCCTTTTGCAATCGCTCCTCTGGTGAGTGTATTTTACATGGCTGATCACCGAAATACTCGATAAGAGGTATAGTGCTTTCCCTTACACAAAATGCAGACTGAGACTTACATGCTGGTCCATGTACCAGTTTTCAAATCATGCATTGGACGCAGCACTTGGGACAAGCACTGTACTTTTCAGAAATCTAATTTGCTAGAGTGGTTACCCAGGGTCAAATGGGTTACCAGGGTCCCTCACCCCCAACAGGTGCACACTTCTCTTAAAGTCATTCTGACCAGGGATTTTAAGTCTTCAGAGTGTACCACAGGGTAACAAGTAATATCACAGATATCTGGCCCATCGGTATTCTTCAGAAAATTTTCTAGTCTAAACCCAGACAGAGCATATAGCTAATAAAACTGAAAACCATTGAACAATCACAAGAAAAGCCTCTCAATAACCTCCTTGCCAACAAGCTACTTTACTTTACTGCTCAGTACCCGGGCTCAGACCCTGCAGAGAACTTGGCAGATTTCTGGTTCAATTAAATCTCATCCATCATTATGGTTGCATCTTTGTATGCTTATTACTGCTTACACTGGACCAGAGTTAACAGGCATTGGGCGGGGTGGGGGGGGGTGTTAAATTTTTTTTTTAAAGACAGAGTCTCACTCTGTTGCCCAGGCTAGAGTGCCATGGAGACACCCTAGCTCACAGAAACGTCAAACTCCTGGGTTCTAGTAATTCTTCCACCTCAGCCTCCAAAGTAGTTGGGACTAAAGTTGCTCACCACTATGCCTGGTTAATTTTTCTGTTTTTAGTAGAGTGGGGTCTTGCTCAGGCTGATCTCAAACTCCTGAGCTCAAGGGATCCTCCTGCCTCGGCCTCCCAGAGTATTAGGATTACTGGTGTGAGCCAGTGTACCCAGCCAGAACGTGAGGTATTTTGCATCAAATTCAAACCTGATCACATCACTTCCACTCCCACATCATGCCGGATTCCGGCATCTAGAAATGCTTTCCAGTTCTCAATCTGTCAGGCTCCGCTGTGCGTTCTTCCTCTCCTTCCCTTCCGGTTGCCATCTGACCCACCCTCATCCCTCCCCACCTAACTCCTCTCCACTCACTCTTCAGGACCCAGCCTGAACACCACTTCATAGTCTCCTGTTCCCTTCCACTTCTCTTCTCATACCTCTCATCACTCACTACAAGAATGACTTGATGAGTTGTCTCTCTCCCCACGAGACTGTAACTACCACGCTCGTTCACCTCTGTGTCTCCAGCTCTGGATGCTCAGGGAAAGAACTATGGCGGGAAGGAAAGAAAGAAAAATGCCTAATTCTAACATAATTTCCTTTCACGTCTTAACTTATAAATTGAGCTGTGTCTTAAAATGGAAGCTGTTTTACAGTAGTCGCTCTCCAGTGGCCATTGTAGTGTACCCGTCACTACATGTGTACAGCCACAAATAATGTCGTGGCCCTGAGTATTCTCTCAGTTCTTTCACATGCACTGTTGGGGTGACATATATTAAGTTTGCCACTTAAAATGTTTCATTAACTATTATTTGGCATTAAAGCAAGAAGTGATGTGTGTAGAAAGGTATGCACATACAGCAGGACATAAATTTAATAATCGCGAAGCAAATGTTTATCAGAGAAATGGCCACAAATCCGTATTTTATAGAAAAGCAACACCAACAGTTTTGTGAGATCAAAGAATAGTAGATACCCAAATGTGGATGAAGAAGCGTTACATTTAAGTACTGAGATGAGGACCAAAGGATTGCCTATTGCAAGCCAAGTAAGGCAACTACCGGTGTGAAAAAATCTCAGATCCCTTGGAATAGATGAAAAAAAAATTCAAAGCACAGAAGTTGATGTGACTGATGCATGGGTCTTGTAAAATCATCAAGGAGGGCATCTCAGTCAAAAAGAGAATACTCAATTATTTAGACATGACTGAAAGAAGTTAGCCCTGATGCATTGGTCTAATTATTTCACACACCAGGATGGTACATGTGTGGAGGAATGCACTGTTAGATGACCCTGTTGTTGTGCAAACACCATAGACTGTCTTCACACAAACCTAGATGGTATGGCCTCCTGCACACCCAGGCTGTATGGTCGAGCCTATTGCTCCTGGGCTACACATTTATATAGCCTGTCACTGTACTGAGTATTGTACACGATTATAATACAGTGGTAAATATTTTTGCATTTACACTGATCTAAACCTAAAAAAGGTAATGTGTTGTGCTACATGTTACAACTTCCATGCCATCCCTAGGCAATAGGATCCTCAGGCAAATTTTCAGCTTCATCATAATTTTATGGGACCGCTATTATATATGCCATCCATTATTGGCAGAAACATTGTTATGTGGTTTATAACTGTGTATATACACCTGGGGATATATACACGTATATATATGGCAAATATATGGCATAGGAGGTCTCTCCAGAAAGACAGGATATATACACCTGGGGATATATACACATATATATGGCACAGGTGGTCTCTCCAGAAAGTATCCAGCCATGTAATAGGAAAATAGAGATATTTATTGAAGAGGATGCAAGAAACGTTGTATTTTACAAAGGACAATAACACTTCAGTCCCCGTCAAACTAGGCACCTTGGGACCTCGGTTTTCAGACACAGTTCTCCTAGCATCTCTTGCATTGTTGAAAACACTGCAGAATCCTTTGTTTGAATCACCATCAGCTGCCTCATCGCATTTTCTTGAATCTCATAGGTAGTCTGAAATCTCTTCCCTTTCAAAGGTGCTTTTAGTTTTGGAAAAAGAAGTTGCAAGACACCAAATCTGGGCAGCAGAGGGACTGAGCCACTTGGGTGATTTGACGTTTTTGCCAAAAATCTCTTCAGGAGACAAGACGCCTAGGTGGGTGTATTGTCGTGATGAAGCCGCCAGTCAGCAGCTGCCCATAGCTGCAGCCGTTTCCCTGGCATTTCATCTCTTAACTGATGAAGGATACTGGGGTAGCTCTCCTTATTAATTATTTATCCTGGAGCAGTGTACTCGTGATGGACACCTTCCCACCCAAAGAACACAATTAACATGGTCTTGATCTTGCTGCAACTTTGCCACCTTCTTTGGGTGTGGAGAACCAGCTACTTCCATCAGGATGGCTGAGCCTTTGTTTTTAGATCATTGCCACAGGCTCACAGTTCACCTCCAGTTATGACCTTCTTAAGGAAATGCAGTTCCTTGGTGACGGTTTGAAGCAAATTATTAGCAAATGCAGCATAACGTCCCTTCTGCTCTGGTAGCAGAAGCCGCAGAACATATTTTGCTATGACACGTTCCATGCCAAGATCTTGTGTCAAAATCTTGGCCATGGCAGTCTTTAAAACCCCAGTCAGCTTCTAGTTCCTTCACTGCCAGTCACTGGTCTTTGTTGATTGCAGTCCCTACACATTAGACATTCTCAGGTCTTCTTGTTACAGAATGTGGGTCACTTTCACCATCTTTGAAGCATTTGTGCATATTTTATTTGTGCTACATTCATTGCATTGTGCCCCCAAGCCCTCTGAATCATCCAATGGTTTTTGTGTAGGAGTGTTCCTACACAAGCTTAATGCAAAGTCTGATGCAGATTGGTTGCTCTACTCAGTCACTTTGATTGTGACACTCCTATAATACACATGCTCACTCAATGTTGTGTAGCGCCCAATGACTAGGACCGTGAAGTCATCATTATTCACCCACTCAATTTCAGTCCACTCCTGCTGGCTTCCAGGTTACATCACGTCACACAAACCATTCTCATTATACTAACAATGGCTACTTTCTAGACAGATGTCGTATAGGACATTAAGTCCATAGGAATCTAGTGGGTAGGGGGTGGGTTCATTTGTATTCACCATCAAAATGGCTTTACTTGATAAATGCATAATTTAACCAAAATGACTGAGTACCTACTGTGTTCCAGGGATACTCTAGGGGCTAGGGACAGGAAGACACAGAAAAGTCAAAAGACATCTAATACTAGTAAACATAATAAAACTTTATCCTTGTAAGAATGGATGTGCAGGCACACAGCACATGTTGTGAAATGATTATTTGGATGTGGACAGGGTGAAGCTGGACTTCCCTGAGTGGGTAAGGGATGAGCACTGAGCAGAGTTTGCAGGCTGGCTGGGAGCTTGTAAGGGCAGGGCTCTAGGCAGGGGCAGCAGGAGATACTAAATCCAGGTGTTAGGTCCGGCCTCTTGTGGTGCATCAGGAAGTAATTCAGAGTTGTTAAGAGTAGAATGGACAGGAGAGGAGCTGAGGCTGGAGAGGAAGCCGAGGATAGACAGGGCCCATGCCAGGAGGACCAAGCATGTGAGCTAAGGAGCACAGCCTTTATTCTCTAAGCCAAGGAATCAGCAAGCTTTTTATGCAGCCAGATAGTAAGGATTTTAGATTTTGTGGAGTATAGGTCTCTGACACGACTACTCAACTGTGCCACTGCAGCAAAAACTCAGCCATAAACAATGCATAAAGAGAGAATTCATTATCCCTGAATTATTATTGAGAACTCATTGTCTCTCCAGATAAATTACCTTGGCCTCTTCACTCACTGATAAAACACCTCTAGGCAGTTTTCCTCTATTTTATTAGAACAAAGAAATAAACAATATAGATACCTGACTTTTCCTGTATCCAGTCAGACAACCATTTCAAGTGGCAATCACAGGTCCATGGGTTTCCATGCAGATAAAGGCTTTCCAGGTCAGGCATATAGGAGATCATCTCTTGAGGGAGGGAAGTCAGGAAGTTATCAGACAAGTATAAGTATTTAATGAAAGATGTTTTAAATATCCGGAGGTAACTCAGAGAGACAAATGTATCTGGATGGAGCTTAGTGAGCTGATTTCCTTCCAAGTGCACCAGGCGGAGAAAGTTGAGTCCATAAAAAGCCTCGGGGTTTATAAACTCAATATTGTTATGGTCCATGTGCAATCGTGTCAAGCTCCTGAGGCCATAAAAAGTATCTTTCTGAAGTTTTCGGACTTTGTTATAGCTCATTTTTAAGACCTAAGAATAAAAACACATTTACTTTATCAAAGGAAATTTCTACAAATTGAATTTGCACAGTAATGCAACATATGGAGATTAATCCAATTCAATGTGTTTACCTTGTTTGTATCCTAATTCAAACAAATTAATTGCAAATTAAGTAAGACAATATCAGAGAAATTAGAACACTCATGAACGTTTACTGGTAAATGAACTTATTGATAAAATTATAAGATATAATAATGACATTGTGGTTATTTTTCAAAGATTTCTTAACTTGAGATAGATAATGAAATGCAGGTAAAATATTATGAAAAGTTGGATTTGTTTCAAAATAATTCAGTGGAGTGGAGGGCAGTGGGTGGGGGTGCAGGTAAGACAAGATATGTTGACAGCTATTGCAACTGGGTGATGATACACTGGGGCTCATTGTGTTATTCTCTCTACTTTTTCATTTGGTTGAAAATTTTAGTAAGAAGGTTTTTAAAAGTATCTTGATATTTCAAATAAATTTAAGATTTTTTGAACCTGAGTTTTTCATAAGATAGGTACTTACTGATTTTAATTTCTTGAGTTATAATTCACATGCCACAAAATTCAGCTTTTTGAAGTGTGCGATTCATTGAGTTTTAACATACAAGGTCTGACAATTAAGTTTACGAACACATCATAGAAAAAGTGCTACATAGCTCATCATTAACTATCACTGTGGTCTCCTTCAAAGTCCTCCCCTTGGGAAGCTATGCACAGATGTTAGTGCTTAGTCCACCCTTTAAAGCAATTCTGAAAGTCTTTTTCTACAGTGGCCATCAGAGTTCTCCTTATTATTACCCTTGATATCTTGAATGTCATCCAAATGTCTTCCTTTCAATATTTCCTTCATCTTCAGGTAAGTAAAAAAGGCATTGAGGACCAAGAGGGGCAAGTGTTCTAATACAGTTATTTGTTTATTGGCTAAAAACTCCCTTACACACAGTGCCATGTGAGTTGGTGCAATGTTGTGATGCAAGAGCCATGAGTTGTTGCTGAAAAGTTCACGTTGTTTTTGCTTAACTTTCTCATGCAGCCTTTTCAGCAATTCTAAATAGTAAGCTTGGTTAACTGTCCAGTGGTACAAATTCATAATGAACAATCCCCCTGATATCAACAAATTAATGATGAATAATCTCTTGATATCACAAAAAAGTTAGCAACATCATTTTGACTTGATTTGGACTGATGGAACATTTTTGGTCATGGAGAATCGGCTGACTTCTATTGTGCACCTTGACACTTTGTCTCAGGGTTGTACTCTTATGCCCATGTTCCATCATCAGGGAAAAAAAGGTCTTGGCAAACTCTAACTCTTCTTTGCTTTTGTTCATCAGTGAGCTTTTCCAGGACCATTGTGCACACACTTTTCTCATGCCAAAATTTTCAGTTAAGATTTTCCTATTTCTCTATCAATGTTTACTTGGTCTGCTATGCTTCACAGTCAGCTGATGATTTTGATGCAAAATTTGACAAATTTTTGCAATGTTTTCATCAGTTCTTCTCTTTACTGGCTGCCCTGACCTCTCTTCATCAGTAACATCCCCACTGCCAGAAAAACACCTAATCCGTCTGTACACTGCTATTTTCCTCATGGCATTGTCCCCATGAACTTGAACTGACATGACCCTGATTTCACTTCCACTCTTGCCAACCTTAACAAGAAATTTAATATTTGTTTGTTGCTCTAATTTAAGCTCCAATATTCTCACAACAACACACAAAATCACACCATAATGAACGCCACTTGGCAAGACACTACCACATGTCAACATGAACACAGCTGTGAGACAGTGATATTATGAAAGCTTACCAAATGGTTCATACAGTGCTGCCAATCTAAGTGCACAGTGGCAAGTTCACTAAGTTAATTGTGAGAATTCATATACGTAGAGCTGTGCAACCATTTCTACTAATTTTAGAAAATTTTTATCACACAAAAGTAAAAACTGATACCCATTAGCCGTCAATCTTCTTCTCCTCTTAGACCTATCCAATTACTACTTTACTTTATGATTGGTGGACTTGCCTACTCTTTGTTTTTTATATAAATGGAATCAGATAATATGTGGCTTTTTGTGTCCACTTGGTTTATTTTCTATAGCATGGATCAGTCTTTCATTCCCGTCTTCTGCTGACTCATACTCCATTGTATGCATGTACCATAATTTTTTAATCTGTTTATCAGTTGACAGACATTTGTGGCATTTCATACTTTTGGTTATGATTTTATTCAATTTTGAGTTGACATTAAAATAATTTCGAATATTTCAATAGTGCTTTGGTAGTCTCCAATTCCCTTTCCAGTTAAATATATTCCTTTTTTTCTTTTAAAAAGAAAAAAAAAATGCCAGCAAATACAATGATTTCTCATTACATTTTCCTGCAGTGGTCCATCTACACTGGTCATCTCTATGGAAGATGCTTTTCTGGAATTAGATCCCCAATAGTAGAGAAAAATTAAATTGGCAACATAGAGGAGCTTTGTCCTAAATGTTACCTGGGAGTACAATCTCAAACTCAGTGTTTCTCAATAGATGTTGAAACCTAGTCAAAAGAAAAAATATATGTAGAGAATTCTACCTATTCCTCTGAAAACGTACCTTCTAACTAGAGACTGATTAAGACAAATCAACATAGCTATATGTTATATTATATAACCATGGTCAAAAATCTCCCTTATGTAGGTCTGGTAAATGTTAAAAGGCTTTGGGAATACTGGTATTTTCCCTGTTATGAGGATATTATTGAATTTATTTATTTTATGACACTTTATTTTATTAAGATCCTTCTGATTTAAAGTCAGTTATGTTCATGCTTTTCATGAATAGTAGTTTTGCTATAAAAAATTTTAATAGAGTGCTTGCTTCGGCAGCACATATACTAAAATTGGAACGATACAGAGAAGATTAGCATGGCCCCTGCGCAAGGATGACACGCAAATTCATGAAGTGTTCCATATTTTTTTTCAGAACAGGCAAATAAAGGCTTCTGTTAAAAGTTAAAAAAAATTTAATAGATGTCATGTATAGTGAGCTAGCATCTTGACAGTTTCAGTCTCACCTTTAGTAGACATAAAAGTCTCTATGTATCGTATACCTTTCATCTTTTCTCCTTTATTGTTACCCCTAGACTTGTTTGACATTTATTTTCTCACTTATGTGACCAATCTTACCGATATTGGGAGTCCCCATAACTTAAAAAATTTTTGGACAAGGCAGGGCATAAACAAGTAAACAAAGTGAAACTAAAAAAAAAAAAAAGCATGTTAATTTATGAGAAGCTAACATCTATCTGTCTGAGTTAGTCCTTATTTTTAAAAACCATGTTTGATTCCCAGGTACACCTGGCTAGAAGTAGTCTTTTAGGATTACATTTTAAAGGTTTCATAATCCCTCAGTATTAATTTTTTTTCTATTAGTCTGAGGTCTGAGAAAACTTGCCTTGGAATTTCCTTGTTATTCTGATTTTCATAGACGATTGCATTAAAAAAGAAATCCATTCTTTGACATTCTCCCTGATGTTTGTCTGCTTTTCTAAAGTGTTTATTTTTGGATTCTGCAGGAATGGGCAGCCTTCGGAGGCTCATCTCACAGGTCCTGCCTCACCCCTTTCACCCATGCTCTCTCTGCACTGGTCTTACCTGTAAAGCCTGCAGATCCGAGAAGGTCTTATCAGGGATGGCAGGGATGCTGTTGCTGTGCAGCATGAGTAACTCCAATTTGGTCAGGCCAGAAAAATCTGTTTCCGTCAGTCTAACCAAGCTGTTGTACCTGAAATACAGAATGTCATTCTAGGCGTAAATCTGTCAACCAGAGCTCTACTGTCAAAGAAAAAATAAACACAAACCCCCTCAAATCTCTCTTGTTTTAACTGTGCTCTAATAGGACAATCAAAAGAAAAAGAAAAAGAAAACCCACATGCAAGAAAAGATAATTAAATGCTTGAAATATTATTGAAATTCACCAGAAGTGTTCACTTTACCCAGGATTTGCAGTCTTAGTTATAATCACTTGTTTTACATTCCTGGAACTTGCCACGTTCCTTCCTTATTTTCAAATCTTTATGTATATGCTGTTCTTTCAGGATGGAATGCCCTTGACCCCACCCTTTTCTATGAGTGATCACTTTTAAGACCCAGCCCATTCTTTAATGACACTGTCTTGTCACTCTCCCTGGTAGAATTTACCAATCGTAGTTAAGAAACGTGGGATCTGGGCTCGGCGCCTGTGGCTCAAGCGGCTAAGGTGCCAGCCACATACACCTAAGGTGGCAGGTTCGAATCCCCAGCCCGGGCCCGCCAAACAACAATCAATGACGGCTGCAACCAAAAAATAGCCGGCGTTGTGGCGGGCGCCTGTAGTCCCAGCTACTTGGGAGGCTGAGGCAGGAGACTCGCTTGAGCCCAGGAGTTGGAGGTTGCTGTGAGCATGATGCCATGGCACTCTACCCAGGGGGATAGCTTGAGGCTCCGTCTCAAAAAAAAGAAAAAAAAAGAAACGTGGGATCTGGAGCCCAGGTTCTGGCTTCTGATTTGGGTATGATTAAGAGCTCAGGCTCAGTTTAGTAGCTTGTGACCCTAGGTAAAATCAGTAATCTTGCTGTGTCTCAGTTTCCCCATCTATGAAACATAGATAATAGAACTCAACCCAAAGATGCTTTTTTGGAATTAGATCCCCAATAAGCAAAGAAAAATGGATTGGGTTCTATTATCTATCATTTCACTAAATGATAGATAATCATAGATAATGGAACCCAACCCATTAAATGAATGAAGATATGCAGAATGCTTGGCACCATGCCAGCACATAGTAAGCACACAATTAATGTCAGCTATTATTATTAGTGCTTATTCCCAAGGCACTTTGCATGCTTTATTATAGTGCTTATTAGATTTTACTGACTGTACATGTGTCTTCCCCTTTAAACACAGCTTCTAGAAGTGAGCAACATATCTCATTTGTTACTGTATCTCAGTGCCAACCACTGTGCTGGGCATTTAGTAGGTGTTCACTAGCTTCAAATAATGTCAAGTCCAACTACATGTGCATTCACACAATTGTTTTCATGAACCTTTAAAATATAGGTGTCTTTTGGTAAATTTAACTAGGCATGCATTTTAAATAAGTCACTTTGCACTGAAAGAAGCCAAAGGACCTTAAAAAGGACATTGAGGACCTTTAAAATATATGCTCATAGAGGAGGACACTTCCAGCTGCCCTGTCACCTCTTATGCTATATCACAATCCTGACCTTTAACAGAAACCATATTATTTTCCAAAAAAACATAGCCAGAAGGAAGCTTTTCTGCAATCTCAAGGCTCCTGACCCACAAAGATGACCTTCCGATTCTGGGAGAACTTTCTCCTAGTAAAAGTTTACTAGGAAAAATTTTCATGTTACCCACAACAAACTTAAGATTTCAGAAGTTAAATACTGTTAAAAATAATTGTGATTAATTGCGCAAAGTCACAAGCGTGATCGATCCCTCCTCTTTAACAAGGTGTAAGACAGGGCCCCACGCACCCCAAATTGATGCGTTCCACATCGCGTGGGAGGCCTTCTGGAATGGAGGTCAGGTACCGGAATGTGCAGTGCACCTCTGTGGGCACATAACAGGCACAGCGGCGAGGACAGGCCCTGCTCCCGGGAGTGGTCACCACGCAGATCACAGCGAAGGAGGCCAGCATGCAGCTGACTCCTCTGCCTTTCACCTTCATCCTGAAAAAACATCATACCTTGATGTTATAAATATGGTTTGTGCAAAGTCCCAGGACCACCACACACAGTAACTGGGAATCTGGAAGACCTTCCTTAAGGGTCGTAAGTGGCCAATTTCATTCACAGCTTTCTTGATAAAACACTCTTTACTATAAACCAGTGTGTGCTGGCCTCACACTGAGCTTTATGATCAAGTGGGATATTTACTATTGTGAAGATTTCTTCACAGCTTCTCACTTCTTAATGAAAAGCAGCAATCCCTATTACCCGGGAATTCATTAAAAGGGAAATTGGAGACTAGAATGAAGATATTGTGACAACCAAAATACTTAAGGCTTAGTTTGCTTTTCATACATTATTTCTTTCAGATTAACTTTTACAAACTGATACTAAAGGTAATAGGTGTGCATCACAGAACAGGTGGAGACTGCAAATGCAAGAAAAAATTACTCATAACCTCACCACTCAGACACAATCTCTAACATTTTTGTATTACTTCCCAGCCCTTTTATTTATTGTGCATATATGTACACACGAATACACACTTTTGTGTATATATGGTAAAACAATTCTGGAGCACATTTTATCATTTAATGTGTTACATGATTTTTCAACTTCTTCCAAAACATTTTTAAGGGCTGTAATAATCCTCTAGAAGGAAGTACAAATCTCTTTCTTAACATTTTCAAGTATTTGCCAAAAAGACACATCGGACACTTTACTGCCAAGTAATGACCACAGCAACAGTAACTGGCCAGCTGAGAGGGCCTGAGCCTTGGACCTGTGCTAAAGTTGGTCACACTGACCCGGTGCAGATTTCTTTCTGCTTTTGCTTTGCTTAGAGCATGTTCCTGGACCCTGTCCTTGGTCCCCTATGTCTGCCACAGGAAGGAGGGGGCCATAACTAGGGAAGAAATACGCTTAACTCGTCAGAAAAATGGTATCTGTTACCCACATGTAGGGCAATCCAGGAATCCAAAGCTAATTTTGTCCCGTCAGTCAAAAAATACAAGGATTGTAATAAAATCTATGCTTTTCTAAGAAAAGTGACCTTCATCAATCATAAATCTCAATGTTCTCTGGAATAGCATAGTTTGGTGTCTACCAGCAACCATCCTTTAGTCATTATAAACTCCACCAGAAATAACCTGGAGGCTGAAATGCTTACATCTTCATAAAGACCAAAGATAATGGCCTTTAGCCCAAATTAAAATTTAATGTAGGATGACTCACATGACCACTATTGTCACTGTAACCACCTGGTTATAAAAATTTTAAGTAAGTTTTGTATACTTGGGGACAGCATTTCCACCTTATTGCTTGATAAGCAAAAAAAAAAAGGAATAGCAAGATGAAGGTAGTTCTCTTCCTCCTCTTTAAAACAGACGTTCTGGACATGCCCACATCTGAGTTATTTAAGAGAGAATCGGGAGTATGAAAGGATGTATGGCTAGCAGATTCACACGAACGTCAACTTGAACATGTATATAATGATATAGGAATTGACACTACCTGGGCTCTTCCTTCGGGTCCTGAATCCTCTTGTGACAGGGACAGATTCTTCCCAGGAAACGTAAAATTGTGTCCAGAGCCGAGTGAGAAAGTTCTCTGCTCCGTAAGCGAGCAAATGACTGAGTCTTTCTGGCTCACAGCTCGGAGTGATACTCTCCGGAGAGCCCTGGAGCCGCTTCCACGCCTGGAGCGCTGCGCCCCGTGCCCAGATTCATCCCGGAGCCTTCCTTTCTCAGGATCCTTGATTTCGGTGTTGTTTCAGAAACGAAAAGGCAAAGTGCAAGTTTTTCGATTTCTTTTTTTCTCCTCCAATAGTTTGCTTTAGTAATCCTGAAGTTTCTCACTTAAATGTAACTATTAACATCACTCCGTTTTGCCCCCAGTTCCCAGGAGTTTCTCAACTTGTCTTTTTTGGATAAGTCTGCCATAGATGTCCCCACCTGTCTTTCCTCACAGGGGTCCTTGCCTGGCTCCAGCCACTGGTCGCTCTCACCCCCCCACCGTCATCCCTGCCCCCCGCCCACCCTCCGGTCTCCCAGCCCGTCTGTCCCGGCGCCTGCTCCGGCTGCAGGACCTGCCCGCAGCCCCCGGGGCGCGCGGGGGCTCCATCCCTTCCCGGGAAGCGATTGGCCGCGCCGCTCACCTCTGTGCCCGGGTGACCAATGGGCGCGCGCCGCGGGCTGGGCCGGAGCTCCGCCGCCCGGG